ATGTGTGTGTTATACCAAGTGTGTGTGTGTGTGTGTGTGTGTGTGTGTGTGTGTGTGTGTGTGTGTGAGAGAGAGAGCTTGTGGTAAATATAATAATAATAATAATAATAATAATAATAATATGTGAAGGATTGAGCCAATAAAATATATAATTAAGTCAATGACAGTGGCATATAATGTAGATGCTAATTGCTTTCTGTTTCCTTTGTCGCCGTTACTGTCATGAATATTTGCCGGCCATTTTGCATGTTAATCTTGACGTGCACTATTTGTTTTGTCACTTGTCACTTTCAAGCCTCTGAAACGGATCACCATCGGAGGAGCGCGGTGAGAGAATTATACAACCAACTAATGTTAGCCTAATTTCCTTTTGATTACAAAGACATCCCACGCTCTCCTCTCGCGTGTGACTTAATTGTTTCTCCGAGTATATCATTGACTCAGCAAACCAAATTTGACAAACAAACATAAATGCGAAGCGTGGGGAGAAGAAGTGGAAGAAATAGAAGAGCCAAATTAAAATTCAAAAGGCAACCTCCATTGCCCACACAACCCACATGGCTTTTTACTGGCAGCAGCGTGCACAGTTTCTCTTGGGAGAGGGGTGGCGTATGAAATGTGACATATTTCCAAACCGAAAGAACTTTTTTCTTTTTTTCCCTTTCTGACGCTAAAACTGTCATCGAGTTTTTTTTTGAAAGATTTCTATTAAGTCTAGGCCAATTCCAACCATAATAAATAAATAAATAAATAAATAAAATTCAGAAAACATTCCGCATTATGGCATGGCTGCTTTCCATAAACATGTTTCTTGGGGGGAAAAAAAAATCATTTGTACATGTTAGCATTACAACTGCTTTATCTGTCAAGATATGATCATGAAAAAAAATTCTATGAGGATTTTGAAAACAAGGTGTTACTTCCAAAGAGACAGAGATGAAGCGACAAGGTCGCAGTTAAAACCTTGGCTGAAATATCAATTCCCCCCCCACTACCCCCCACAGGCTCAGTGCACTGATGACACGGTGAAGAGATGAGACAGAAGCTCTTCCTTAAATTCTTTTTTTTTTTTTTTTTTTTTTTTTCCACGAACAGGAACAACAATTTCCCTGAATATTGCTGTTGTCCAGTCAAGGTTAGAACCGTTTTGTATGAAACCTCATCACATTACAGAACAAACAAACAGTGTGCTTCCCCTTACACAAAAGCCCCCAAAAACATCAATCTGTGAAACAATTTGTGCTTCCTCTTCGCTTTCACACGCACACCCACACACACACACACACACACACACACACACGGATGATGTAGGCCGAGAGAGGAAAGAGCGGAGGAAGCAGGGACAAAGCAGGCCGAGGTCACAGAAAAGCCGGACTCCCGCTGAGCCAAATAGGCAGCTGACACCGCGCGCATTCAGCACTCGTTAAGTGATGATTAATGAGGTCAGGCGTTGAAGAATAAAAATAACTCCACCAGTGAGATGGATGGAGAAAACAGACCAAACAAATCTCGACAGGCAAAAATGATGACGTTAAAAAAGCGTCACCCGACCAAATAAAGGTAGGTGCCTGCCTTTTCAATGAGAAACAACAAAAATCTCTCTCGACAGAAAAACAAAAAACTTGCAGCAGCTGCTGCCTTTAGTTCATTTCATTCATTTTTTTTTTAGCGATTCCCTTTGATCAGATATTCTCCCCCCAAAAAAACAACAAAAAAAAAACAGTCAGGATTAATGTTTTACTTGCCTATTTGTATCTTCTTGTCAAGATGACAAGATTATCAGAACATGAGTACTCGTGGAACAAATCAAAGAAAAGCAAGGAAATTGTACGACCAATAGCCCGAAAGCCAAAACCAAAAAAACCCACCAAAAATCCAATATAAGCTACTCTACATTTCCTCTCAATTCAATCTCAAAGTCATACCTTACTCATTCGTGGACACATATCCATATTTTATCAGAAGGTTATATTCATTGCTCATAATAACTGAACGCGTACAACAAAGATACAACAGCAGGATGCAGTTTGTTATTAATAGCCCAAAAGCCAAAACCAAAAAAAAACCCCACCAAAAATCCAATATAAGCTACTCTATATTTCCTCTCAATTCAATCTCAAAGTCATAGCTTACTCTTTCGTGGACACATATCCATATTTTATCAGAAGATTACATTCATTGCTCATAATAACTGAACTTGAAGAACAAAGATACAACAGCAGGATGCAGTTTGTTATTTTTGCTGTAAGATGAGCGTGTAACTTGATGTGCCGTGATTTACCGATTCTGGTTTTGTGCAACCGAATGTGTGTTTTTGGGGGATATACATGTCGTTTTTTTGAGAAGCCACACAATTATAAGCAGCCTTGCCCCTGTCAATCCGTCAAAACAGGCCTCTGCTGCACTCTCTGGCAAAAGCAGCCCCGCGATTAGCAACCGCAGCATCAGCAGGCGACTTTGCTCATAACGCAACCTGAAAGTAGCAATTTGACTGAGGATTGTTATCACTTACTGAGGATGGCAAGCCCGGCGGGACCTTGCGGACTTTTTTGGGGTGGATTTCTGAAAGAAAGAAAAAAAAAAAGCTTTATGAATGAAAGGAGAGTTGAACTTGCCAGTCTCTCGTTTTGATTGAATCAATCTGGCAAAGAGGAGAGACTTGTAAAAACTGCCTGTCAATGTATTTACAAAGACTGCAAACACTAGGAACAAAAATAAGATGGCAGGGGTGTCGGGGGGGAATTTGCTTCAAAAAAAAAAAAAAAGGCTAGTTTTCTCTGTCGATTTGCTTTGATAAAAGAAAAGAGGTTATATTTATTTTGTTTTGTATTCGGACTGTGTCTTCTAGTCTTTCAAAGGGAGCAAAGGAGCAGTCCATTAACTGGGGAGGGGAGACTTTGATGGAAAAATGAAAGAATGTTTTTTTGGAAATTGGCCCAGCATCGTTTGTGTGTGTGTGCGTGCGCGCGCGGCGCATGGGTGTGTTGCCCGTGTCCTATCAAGGCAAACACGACCAAGGCTACACTTCAGCATTATTGTCCTGAATGTTTTCCTTTCTTCCGAACACACCTCGAACCAGACACGGGGCGCCGCAGGCCACACGCACGTCATATCAACAGCTTTCAATCGATAAAGGAAATACTACATCAATAAATAAAAGACAAATTCCGAAATTTTGGCCATGCACATTTAACAGGTAATCCACACTGGATTTTTACAGGAGTTGCGTGGTTGAAAACATTTGGAGTTTTGCATTCCAAGCTGCTCTTACTGGAGTGAGCAGTTGGAGTGAGTTGATTGATTTAATTTATTTTTTTATTATTCAGGACATTTGGAGTGAATGAAATCAAGTCAAAAAAAAATAAAAAATTCAAATAAAAAGGAAATAATGATTGTCATTATTCTTGAATGGTGACATAAACTACTGCAGCGTTGTGTGATGTCGAGTAGGAATTTGATGACACGTTCATTACATATTCCCAGAAACGCCACTTCATTTGTCGTGATTATGTTTAAGGTAGAAAGAGGACACAGCTTGCTCAATTACGACGGTTCAAAAACACTTGAAGGCAGAAATATTCAAATATTGCAATTGAAGTGGACTCTTGACTATTTGTGTATTAGTTTTTTGTTTTTTTTGCTCCACATCTGTTTTATCGATTAGGAAAAAAAGTCATGTTTCATTGAAAAGACAGGGGGGGTGGCAAATAGTTATCTATACACCAAGTATTTATTCTTGCAATGGTATGGACCAGATATTGCATAACCTCAAAACCATGAAAAAAAAAAAAATCTGTCTTAAGCATTTCATTAATCAGAACACAAGGTATGAACATCTGAAGGTAACCCACAGTGATCGGATTTATGCCACACAATCTATATGTTGTTGACGTTTCACATCGACAAAAGGCAGATTATTTGTAAGGATTGCCTTGACAACGCTCCTCGATCCAAAGCGGCGGGCGCCTTACCCATGGAGTCCATATGCAGTAGTCTCCTGCGGGGGTTGCTGCCGTAATGCTGGTAGTACTGACCGGGCGGCTTGGTGGGCGAAGTGGCGCCGGGACTCCCCAATGCCATCTCACCGCCCAATAATGACTGCTCCAAACATAGAGTGGGACACAAAGAGAGGGGGCGTTAATCCAACCATTTTGTCTGTAGTAAAAAAAAAACAACACACAGCACACTTCAAGCAAAAGAAAAATGTCACCGTGTATCTCTCTCAAAATTGAATTGATCAGGTGCATCGAGTTATTTGGGGAAGTGCTCTGTGCGATGGTCCTCAATGGTATGAATAAATTGCTGATTCCAATATCAATGCAAAGGCATCGGAATCTCACAAGCCACATATTCAGACAGCACACCAGAATATGGAGAAAATGGGAGATTTTGGCGCTCGGACGAGGAAAAGTTGACCGGAGCTGGCAGAAAAACAAGTCTGACATCACAAGGCGAAAGTGGTGCTCAAGTTAAAATGTGCATTCAATAAATAGATCAATTGTGTTGATCTGTACATGTGATCCAAGTTGCCAACACTCTTTTTTGGAGTGGACGCTCTCTCTCTCTCTCTCTCTCTCTCTCTCTCTCTCTCTCTCTCTCTTTGAAGGTATTTGGCAATTTAAAAAAAAAAATCTTTTTAAGGCTGTGGATTCAGCGAGAACACGTTGAGGTTGGAGCTTGGAAGTTCTAAGCGGGGTGCATCTATAATTGGACCGGTTGCTAGAGAGATCCTAATCTTGACCTCTAAGACTTTTCAAGTTCCCTTGAGCAAGGAAGGAATCAAAGCCCCAACCCACTTTTGCCAATGCTGATATCGTTCCTTCGACAGATGCGTCCTCTCAGGCGATAAAACTAAAATCATCAAGCCGCAGAATAAATGGAACAAAGTCTTCCCTGTAATCTCCACTTTGGAAATAGAACCAACCGTAAAACAAAAAAAAAGAAAAAAAAAGTACTTCTATAACAAATACAACAATGACAACAAGTACTACTACTACTACTACTACTACAGTACTTCAACTAATACTAATAAGAATGAATATTTTTAGTCGGAATTGAAAATTTGAATCCAAAAAAAGTAGCAGATATGCAGCTGGAAAGACAGATAAAGAAGCTGGATAACGACAAGGGAAAACACAACGCCAAGCTATTTACAGTACCTCCGTGAATGCAACATCAGGCTGCTCAGTGCAGACTCGGATTCAAACTTCTCCTCCGTGCTGCCTCTTGCCTCCTCTAACTGTGACCCGGTTTCCCAACTTCCAAACAGCTCTCACATTGTCGCTCTAATTGAGTTCAATCATTCTGCGGCAACAAGTGCCGGCTGGGCTGATCAGCGGAGGAGCGAAGGCACAAATAAAAGACAAAACAAAAAAGGGAAAGATGGATGGAAACTTTTTTTTTTTTTGAAGGGAGACATAAAAAATTATTGAGGACGAAAGAGGTGAAAAAGAACGAACCCCCCTCCCTTCTTCTGTAAATAGACTCTTCCACTACTCCGTTAAAGCATAGATTTTTTTTTTTTCCTCCCCCAGCTTTGTCGTCAGGTAATTAGCGTGCAGTGTTTCTCAAGCAGAGGGTGGAGGACTGTATTGGTGAGGTGGCAGGGGATGTTTTTCAGACTAATCTGAATTCTGATCAGCATATCGGTCCTCTCTGTGCTGAAAACAAGAGTTGGCTTGGCACTGGTGAGCTTTTCTCATGCTAAACAGGGTCTAAGTAGGCCAATTACAGGGCCAGCCTCGGCCTCGGTGCCTTTCTCCTCCTTAAAACAAAAGGGTCCTTGTCTTAAATAAAGTCAGCCTCACACACAAGCAGGAGTCAGACACAAAGGCACGACCAACACACACTCACACGCACACACACAGCATCTCCGTCATCTTGCGCCGTGAGACCGCGCGTCATCTGGGGGTGAAAAGGGGGTTCCCACTAAAACAAAAAGAGTCTCATTGATTGCGGCGCTTTTCTTTCTTTCCTTGCTTGCTTTCTCCTCTTGTACTTGAGCACTGAGCCAGGCCAGACGGTCGTCCTGGCAACTAGACGAGCTGGAGGAGAGACAAAATACCCATCTGTCTGTCTGACTGTCTCTCTTTACCTGCTTGTCTCCGTGTCCCTGCTCGCGATCTACTGTACTCACTCTGCGGTGATGTCACTGTGGGGGTCCCGACCGGTGATGGTCAGAGGCAAGAGCTCAGGGGAAGCCAAGTCAGTTCAAGTTATGACACATCATCACACAGCACCCTTGACATTCCGAATAAAAGTTATCCTTTTCCTTGCGCGGCTCCTCACGAGCTACAAAAACGTAGCGCCGCACTGCCCGTCATGTTAGCTAAACTGTGTACGTGAGCCCCTGCTTCCTGCCCCCCTTCTATTGTGTGGCTTTCATTCTCATGAAGACCGGAGGCGGCGCTAGGTGCGAGGGCGTCGAGGTGAGGCGAGCGGCCATTCCGTTTTATTTGAATCGCTGAACTCGCTGTAAAGGGGCATCAATGCTACCTCGAGCAGCGGAAGTGCGCGCGTTTGGCTAAAGGTCAAATTGAAGCCAGTGCACTTCACAAAAGTAACCCGATTCGTTTGGATATGTAAATGTCGTCATGGAGTGCTCCAAAATGTTTAGCTGAGATTTGGGACGTGCATGCACGTGACATATGACACCCACACCCACAACGGCGGGGACCGTTTCTCGCAGAGCTGACTGGGCTTTCCGTGGCCAGCTGCTCACAAAGAAGAAACGAACTAAGATAGATCACCGCAGAGTGTGGGGAAGAACGGCACAGACAGACGCAATGAGAGGGACGCAGAGGAGCGTCTCTACACACACACACACCAAGACATACGGCGAAACGCCACTGGCAGAGTTGTGTCCATCTGACCTTCAGCGATTAGGCGTGTTGTTTTGCCGAAGCAGTGAGGATACTTGTTCAGCCGCATCGTGGGTGTTGGGTTTGCTTCGTTGAATAGAATCTTGCAACAGGAAAGTATCTGGAAGTCTGTTTTGTTTTGGCAACTCTTAAACTGACGAATTTCACTGTCGACCAACGTTTAGCTGGAAGATACGCGGCGTCAAATGGAGTTTAAACTATCCTATTGAATGGTGGCCCACAAGAAATTTTGGTGAATTTCTGAAGCAGCATCCAAGTGTATTTCTCATTTTGCAATATTTTGGAATTTTTTTCACAAAATAAAAAAATCACCTCAAACTTGTCTTTTGACACAGATTTATCTTTCGGCCAAAAGATACTGTTGCTGTCATGATGATGTGGACAATTAGCGACAAGAAAACATTTTTATTTTGGCTTGAGAACACATGCATCGTGTGCTGTGCACTTTGGTATTCTTGTCAATTTGTATTTTGCCCGTCACTCTCACTTTTTATGTGACTACAAAAGTCATTCGGGTGTCATCAATTCCGGTCCAAATCAGAGAGAGAGAGAACACCATTAATTACAAGGAAATGCTGGCGAGGCACTGCCACACCTATGCCAGCTTTGCTCCAGCTGATACACACACACACACACACACACACACACACACACACACACACACACACACACACACACACACACACCTTCCTGAGGAATTCAAACCCAGAGGCACGCCGTCAAAATTCAAACCAACAGAAACCAAGACCTCACCAGACTCAGGGCAACGACACCGTAACCACAAATGCCACCTCGTTGGCCACAAACCGCAGTTAATGGAATGTTGAAAAGCTGATTAGAATGCATTGAATCCAATTGTGGCGCAGCCGTTAGCACGGATGTCTTCCAGTCAAGCGGTCCCAAGTTTGATCCTCGGCTGAGGCCTTCCCGTGTAAAGTTCACATGCACAAACGTGTGAGAGAGCAATCGCATGCTCTACATTCTCCATCCACGTGGCTCTGAAATGGTCAATGGTGGTTTGCATGTGCCCTGCGATTGGCTGTTGACCGGGCACGCACGCATTTGTCGCAGAGAGCCCCCCCCCCCGTGCTGCGAGCGACCTTCACCACTAATATTGCCGCTGCCCATAATAATTCCAACAATATAGACAATATACACATTTCCCTACCTGTCGTGCTGCAGTATCTAAGACCCCCCCCATCCCCTATCTAAGACCCCTTTAAATGCAAAAAAAAAAAAAAAAACTTTCACAATCTTTGACAAACACCGGAGCCAAGTGCGAAACTAAAAGCTAAATTAACCCAAAACTCAAACAGTACAAATCTATTTGACTGCCGATTAAACTGAAGTCATTTGAATCTGCCAGCTGTCACCATGTGAGCTCATCTTCTCCTCTAAATGTTATTTTACTGTTTTCTTTTTTTTTTTTTCCTTCCCTTTATTACGAGGACAGAATTTTCACTAACAGCCAAGGATGAAGCCAAAGGATTTTGGACTTCAGCCCAGCATGTAAAATTATCTGCCATTTCCAAACAATTTCCATCAAGAGCCATTCAGACTGTGCGGCAGGCTCATTTGACTGCCACTCGGCGGGAAAATGGCCAGCGATGCAGTCATATTTGATTTGGTTCAGATTTTTTTTGTCCTTTACCATTTGTTGTAACCCCACATCGAGACCACAGCTGCATAGGAGAATCGATCATAAAGGGAGGAGGAATTCATGGACGATTAGGTTGGAGGGATGGCGGGCGGGAGGGGGGGACGGCGGAATACGGGCGGGCGCTCTCCGAGTGCTCGGATGGGCGGACCAACGGATGTATTGATGATAATCTATCCATCGACGAGTTTCGAGCTATCTCATGGAAACGATCGTTTGGCATCACAGAAAAGTAAATAAAGAGACACAATAAGAACAAAGACCAAAAATTCAATCCAGCCAAGTTAACATTTTACGACATTCCGTCGAATGTACTTGTCAGATGCGAAAACGACGGCAGAATAAAAACTTGACACAAAGCTTGTTCCTGGTCTATTTTCCGGAGCTCTGTCGAGGCCATTCTGCGTCCTCGTAACACAAAGGAAAAGCTCATACCAAAGGCAGCAAGATTTTTTTTTTTTTTTTTTTAATACCCTGACATCAGCCCATACGAAAGCTTCAAAGTTCACAATAGGGAATTTGGCAATGGGAGGAATAAAGAACAACAAAAAAAAAAGGATTCTTGGCTGAATTGCGATTCAAACGTAAACAATCCTGATTAGGTTCATGAATATTAATGTAATATATAATCTCATCAATGCACGTGCGCATGACAAGAGTCAAGTTACCTGTCAAGAGTAGAGAAGCAGCATGTCAACCACCACCACCAACTTTCAATTCAAAGCCACTTCTGGTCTCAATAATTTTTCGACTTTTACAACTTTGTCTTCATAAAAACTGATGTGAAAACATGAACTATTATCATGAAACCAACCGGAAAATGTGGCACGGGTTTTTATGAGAAAAATGAAATCACAGCAATTCATCTTGACTACCCTCAAAAATGTTGGATGGTTGGAATATTATTATTATTCTTTTTTTTTTTGTTTTGCTTTGAAACATGCGACAACGGTTGCTATGGTTTAGTTTGCGTATAGCGGCACCCCTTAAATTAGGCACCGTCCGAAAATGGTTTACAGTTCTTATCTATCACAAAGCTGGTCCTGGTCGCTGCTTCCCGGGCTTCGCTCGCAACTCTTCACGGGCCAATAAGAGCCGGCCCACGGGCCGCATTTGGCCCGCGGGCTGTAAAAAGCCCCGCTATGGGCTAGAGTACTCTTGTACTTTGGAGTATAAAACGCTCCATTGCAATGGAAAGGTGTCGTGGCGACGAGACATCTGTATCTCTCAGTGACTGAGCGGTTAAATAAAACCATCTAATGTCCCTCAGGGATCAATGAAGCTTCATTCAAAGCACAAACCGGTGCTGAAAAGGGGGATATAATACATATTCATTACGCTTTCGAACATCTTTTCATGCCACTGACTTTCACAAGGACATACATCCCTTTGATAAGCTTTAATTGATTAAAGCCATAACATGGCTCTCAGGCAACCGACGAGGATGGAACCTGCGTCGCATCAAACTAGCATCTGTATATCATCTGAATTATTAATTTGGATTTTCTAATGGTGTTACGTAGTAGATTGTTATTATTTTTTTTTTCCAATGGTATAAAAGTCTTCACTGCGCGTGGCATCACAAAACGCTCCTTTGAAAACAACATGACCCCAACATTACAATTGATGGCATTTCCATGACGTCAGGAGTGAAAACATTTGCCGTCTATGTCGTCAACAACCATAAAAACGACACGGCTCTCTGCATTTGGTTCTATGAGGAAAAAAGAAATAACAAATAAATACTCTTGAGTTGAGGTGAAGTTAATAATTTCATACATTCTGAGAAGTGAAATCTGCTTGTAAGAACTGATTTTGTTTGTACTTTTCCGTGAATCACTTCTGTTTGTGTGCGTCATTTTCTTTTCCTAAATAGCGCTTGATATGTTAGCTTGAGACGTTAAACTACATTGGCAAGTGTGATGACAGCGACATCAATTAAAAACAACGGCATATACAATGTGTGCGACTTCATCGTGAATAAAATACAAATTTTTGCTTTCCGTTACTGCGAAATTGACATTGCATGAACCACTGACCTGGTGGCAGTGCGGGTTTGATTCTCTGCCATATGAATATGAACTCCTCTCTGTTTTACCTGCAGACAGAAGGAAAAAAAAAAGAGTGTAAAGTTAGACATTTTGTGTATCATTTAGGGGAAACAACATCATCTTTAGTTGCAAGTGTATTTTCAGTGTGCACGTTTTTAAGGAACGTTTTTTGCATTAAGGTAAAAAAAAAAAAAAATGGATTCATAGATTATTCCTTTGTTCAATGTGTTATCTTACAAAATATGATTTTAATTTGACCAAAAGGGTAAAATCAGTCAAAAGCAATTATGATTATTATTATTATATAGCATTTGTATTTCAGCAGTCACAATGGGTAATTTATTTGTATATTCCTGCGGAAGCAAAAGCTTTGACCTCCCACTTCTGATCATTTTGTTGCCATAAAAAATGACAAGCAGCTCTCCCTTGACTCGTCAAACGCAGGCAAAGCAGTGATCACACGTGACAGTGAGGCACACCATTGGCAGGTAACCGACCGCCATTTTTTTTATAGACAATTTGACCATGTGTCTGGGCAAACGGAGGCGTCTGATAAACTGAGAACATGTACAGCCCACCGCAGTGTTTTGACAAAAAAAGAAAAGAGACAAAAAAAAAAGCTATTTTCCCCCCTCAAGCTTCTGAACAGGCGGTCCTGCTCTCCTCGGAACTGTGGGACCACTTTAAGCCTATTTTTACCACGCAAACCTTTTTGGATAAAGCCTTAAATCTTCAGCCAGTCTAAATATCAAACCACTGCTAGTGTGTAATTACATTCTGTGGTTGGTGCAGCCATACGCGATGAAATGAAGGGGCTTTATAGTGAGCGTGTGTGGAGGAAAATGAAGCGTGTACACGGTGAAGGGTTTGAATCGGGCATGTATAGATGGGGCTGAATACACACCAACATGGTAGTCGATGCAGAAGAGGTTGATAATTAGAGGCGTAGAAAGTGGCAATGTGGTTGGCAGTGTGTGTGTGTGTGTGTGTGTGTGTGTGTGTGGGTCTGTGTGTGTGCGCATGTGTGCTGGTGTGTATGTGACTAATCCAGGGGCCTCAGCTTCAGCTACCGCTGATGCCAGCTGGACTGGTTTGGCACATATACAAAGACACCCCCCCCCCGCCCCTCCCACCACCCTCTCCCACCAACCACTCATCCACATACTGACACTCACCGGCACCA